AGTAGAAGTATACGATGTACTGAAACTGAAATTTTAGATATTTTATAAATTGTCCTTGTTTGCCGAGGCAAAAAAGTCCAGCCCCATTTATCATTCGTCCTGTATACGAAAATGCCTCTACGTCTTTTCCCGCCCCGACGTCACGAGAAAAGTTCGAACTTTCTTTCTCGAGCTTGCAACTTCATTACGAAGCACGGAGAGCAACAACCGAGAAACTTTATATTTATTTAATCATTTCGCCTCTTTAAGCTGGCGTTCCAGGTTAAGTTGGCCAAATAATAAAATATACGTATACGCGGCGCGGACTATAATCAAATAATTTCCCTGTCTCGCGCTCTGACGATTTTCATTCCTCGGAAAGCTAATAAATCGAGCAATTACAACGATTCTGAAGGAATATATCTGTATAAGTACGCATGTATAAATTTCGTAACATTTCATTTTCGAGCAATAATATTTTATTCGAGAACGGGAAATTCTGCCGCTCGTATACTTTCTCCACTTGCGCGTGTGCGTGTGTGTATTCTCAGGTTCTTTCATCCTTTCATACTTATTCGTAGCACACGCGGGCGCTTTTTTATACACCGCAGCGCAAGGGCGATGCCGCACCCATTGCCCAGGTTATGAAATTGCTCACGAGCGTCGAGAAACGTGGCACACGCTGAGCTTTGACGCGTGCACGCAGCAGCGCATGAGTACTTGTTATACGCACAGAGCTGTGTGCACGTCGTTTAATTCGGTAAAAGAGCTGAAAATGTAAATATAGCGTAGTAGGGGCGATGCCTATACCAACTCATGTACTATTGTTACTATGACAGCAGAACTTGTTCGCAAGGGCAGCCCTAGTACGCTGGATTTACGATTTCTGCTCGTTACCAAATTACACGACCCTTAGTACCCGTAGTAGAAAAAAGTTTCGCAAAAATATATATGTACGTGTTTATACGTTGGTATTTGTGAGGGAAAAAGCAACCACTGCGATGCAGTCTCAACTGAATGAGAGAGCGTTTATAAAATGAGAGAGAGAGAGAAAAAGAAAATATTATATACACGTTAGTACGATGCTACATAGTACCACCAGTTCACATAGTGCCATGTCCTTTAGATACAGAAAAAACTGAATTAATTCATTCAAATTACGTTAAACATTTTTTTCTCTAAACCCTACTTGACCATTTTCGTTTACAACTAAACTAATCGGATTTTTCAAACAAATACACAATCATAGATTCCTTTGGGTTTATAAAAAATAATAAATTATTTGTTTTTTTTTCTTCGTACGGGTGGTACCTAGAAACGTTAAAATAGCGTCCAAAGTGCGGCACGAACTCCCAACTAATAAAACTCATGGGACTAAAAAAATGTTTACTTTGGAAAAATATGCGTTTTCATATACAGTCATCATAAGTTCGTATACAGTAAGTTGAATAATTATTTACCGGGTTATTATATTGGAAAATCTTCCAAATTCGTTCTCTATTTTCATCGTACGAATTTTTGATATCGTCAGAGACTGAAATCGTTCAAAATCAACTTAAACGTCCTGCAACGTGTACAAAAGCAGTTATGCAAAATCTCAATGCCGTAAAAGTAAGTTCAAGGCCCCTCTTTTCCTTCTCTCTCTCTTTCTCTCTCTTCCCCATCTCTTTTCCGCAAGTAGATTAAGGAGAGAGAAATGGAAAGAGAACTTCATTGTTGCAACGGTGCCCTAGCACTGCAGTGTGTAGGAAGCAGTATATATGCTGCTAAAAGAACCCTCTTTCCCTCACTGTACAGACATTTTATTCCGTTTGCCCTCACCCTTTTTCTCTTTTGCCGCGCTCTCATTATCTGACGTTTTTTTTCAAAACCGTCACTCTCCTTTATTTTTTTACCTGCACTTTAGTTCGTGTTTTTTTCCTTTTTTTACTCGTAATATTTCTATACGTATTCGTTTGTCATGAATTCGTTCTCGCTTTTGCCCTCATCACCGGTGGGGATTACCTTCATAATCCAAAAAGGTGTCCCACAGGGTACCGAATGCTTCAACACACACATACACACGTGCACACATACACACTTACGTAGACAGTCAGAGTGAGAGAGGGAAAGAATATACAAAAAAAGTGCGGGCATAAATATTTCAATTGTCCACCGACAAGCTCCCAAGGCTCTGCTGCGTCGTCGACGTAGTCCATCTCTCCTGAGGTAAACTGCAGCCCTAGATTCTTTTTTTTTCATCCAACCCTGCCCTCACATAGAAATGGCAAGGAGTAAATAATGATATAATGAAAGCTCTCGGGCGCACGAGAAAACGAAAAAAAGGGTGAGAGACGACGAACGAGTCATGGACGTAAAATGAAACAATAAAGCGAAAGCTCAAAATAAGGGAAAAAAATGATGAGGAAAGTGGAACACGACGCTAGTTTGTACCACGATGCTACTATATTACCGACCGAAAAAAGTTTCCATACGGCTGCTACTGATAGCGTCGTCAATTTTCTTCGACTCGCGTCGCCACGGTCTTCGTTTTTCACTTTGACGTGCACAGGTAATAATATAGCTTCTCTCCTGGCAGTATAATAAAGCTGAAAGTGACGAAATCTCGTGCAGCGGCTGTAAAAACGTTTTCTTTCGCGGCAGCGTAATACGCGACACTGCGCAGCGGCAACAGCACAAGAGAAAAAAAATGTCCGCTTAAATATATCGTCGGCTTTTTTTTAATTAAGGTCAATCTCGAACAAAAAGAAAGAAAAGGAAAAAATTCGACCACACGCTAAAAATGTAAAATTGAGCATCGATCGGCTATCTGCTCTCGTGCAAAACGAGCGTAATAGTTGTAAAAGACTATAAATGAGCATTTTTTCTCGTTACATGCCTGAACTTGGTATGCTTGTGCGCGCATTGCGTTGTGATCGTACGTCGCGCGCGTCGCTCTTTTAATTTGTCACTTCTGAAGCTGCATTATAAATACAAGTGCAATTTTTCCTCTATTCTCTCTTTCTTTTATTTTTGCCACTGCGTGAGCTGCTTACACACGAACGAACGATGCATTTTACACGTGAAAAAGGTTTTCACCGTACGCGCGCGTAAACTTATATAAAATTGCAAAAGCAGCGCGTATATTACCGCGTACGTTGGAAAATTTTCTTTGACTCGCTGTAATTCTTGCGGTAATTACAGTTTTTACACACAAACACAGGGGCCATTGGGTACTTAATTTCTTGAAGTACTATGTTATTATATACATGGATACGTATGCATTTTAATATATTGTGAATTTAGTTATAAATATTTGTCTATTGTATATTGTATATATATATATATATATATAGATTAGTTCAATGACTACTTCTAGAAATACCTGGTTAATAGAATCTTCGCTTGCTGTTTTCTCGCTGCGATGATCGTCAACATAGTTAATTGATGCAAACTTATACAACAAGGGTAATAACGAGATACAGCACGATGCAGTTATAACGACATAAGGGATATGCATGATATCAAACACTCACAGCACATCACAAATAAAGAATTAGCTTCACAGTAGCTAGAAACATTGAGCGATATATCGAGATACGTATCAAAAGCGTTTAAAAAAGAAAGATTCAGTGTAAATTTCTGATATTGAGGCTCAAAATGCACTGTATTTGTAAAAAAAAAAAAAAAAAAAACTCACATTTGTCTTGTGTACATTATTTTTGTAGAAAAAACAATCGCAACTCAAAAGCTTCGCGTACAAAAGCGCTCTGGCATTTACAGGGTGTCTAGCAGATAATTTCGTTAAACGTGCTCACATTTCACACACGTTTTTATAGGTATAAACATTCAGTTGCGATAGACGAAAGATTGAGAAAAAGATGCTAAAGAGAGATAGACAGACATTTATCATGTTAATGTATGGTTATATAATAATAAATGTTTTATATATTATGTTTGAATGATTCATCAAAAACAAACAAAAACACATACTTTTATATATTTCAATGCAATCTAGAATCACATTGTACATATTTAAAAGGGATTAAAACACATGACAACTTATTTATTATAGACAAATCACTTCTATATGGTAATGTATATTAGCGATTACGAAAAGTGAAGCTCATAGCGTGATTTGTGGGGGGATGTTTTCAAATAACAATATATAATTATATTGCATGACTCAAACCTAGATTCTCATGTGTATAAATTCGATTTACATATTATACGTTCAAATGGTTATAATGTATAACTATATTGGCAGTGGTCTCCTATAGTCCTAGAATCAACAGATACTGTAGGGTGCTGCATATAATACGGTATTTAAATCATAATGTATGGTTTAACGTTAGTAATAGTCGAATAATATAATCGAGCTTCAGTCCTTAATAAATGAAAAAATAAAAGATCTATCAAACGAAATTGTACATAAAAAAAAAGAAAATAATTATGAAAACAAAAGCTAAAAATAAAATAGTAAAGAAATGAATTGTTAGTACAGGTTAGTCAATTGAGTATAATATACGGTAGTATTATATTATTTATGAAGCTTGTATATATAGATAGAATATTTTGGTTATTAAGCTAGTATTACACAGTCCAGCGGCACTAGGCAATTTCAGTGAAATTAAGTTTGTGAGGTTTACTTGTTAGGTTTGTATAAAATATAGATACAATTAGAGGAAAGGTTTGATTAATCAGTATTATGAGGAATAATTGATAAATGAAAGAAGAAACGTATGTGTGCGTGCGTGCACGCATGCATACGTTTATTACAGCATAAGATAAGACAGTTAGCATGTATAGCAGATATTTTATATGTAACTTCATGAAAGTCTGCCAATATTAAGGTACACATTAAATGTTATTTCTTTTTGCTCTTTTGCTATTAGAAATATGTATATATAGAGAATTAGAGATATATAATTGTGGAGAAGAGAAAACAAGCGTAAAAGGATAGTAGAATATATATGAGGACGCAGAGAAAAAAGCTACAGGCTAGTCCTAAATTTTTTTTCAAACCAAACAAACGAACAAACCTCCTCTGAAAGGCCTAGACGAAAATGTTCGCGGGACCCCTGTAACAAAAATGTTTAATATAAATCATAAAAGAAATCATAGAGTAAACATAAAAAATAATCAGAATAAATGAGGGAAATTAAAATTAAAAGACATTGAAGCACTTGTCTCGGAAAATAAAATCGAAAAAGTATATCGTAGTCATTGCATAAGCACACGGTTATTATCGACGCTCAAATAATCAAATTTTTATATTTAGTAAACGCAGTACAGCAGCAGCCAGGGCCTGGTTAGCTCAAATCTCATTAAAGGTCAGAGATCTTTGCTCGATGCTCACTTCGCATGCATATATAATATGTTTTCGATCCTTTTCCTATCCCCTAATACCGTATAGTTTCTCTCTCTCTCTATGTGTGCGCGCGCGCGAGCTACGTCCGATCGCACAAGGTATATACATAGAGGATACAGATATATATAACGAGTATATTGTGTGTGTACACATAGCACATGTAATGTGAGGCAAACACAAAGTCCTCCAATATGCTTGTGCTGCTGCCAGTTCACGGGTGGTGTTGCTTATACTGGTAGTGGTGCCGCCTGCGCCAAATGCGCGTGTATATATTCATTATACACAATGCATAGTCCCCGGCCCACACACACACACACACACACACACACTCGGCACAACTCAGGGTGACACAATCGTATAGCAACCTCTTTGACCCTTTCGCGCCAGTACGTGTATATAGATGTGCGGTATTGCGCACATATAAGCGCCGCTGCGAGAGGATTTATACAGGACCACTTGTTTATTTCGAGCGTGTCATTCGCATTAAACTGCCACAGAGAGCGAGCGAGCGAGGGAGAGATAGAGAGAGAGAGAGAGAAAGAGAGAGAGAGAGAGAAAAGTAGAGAGAGACTACTGGGCTGCATAACCAAACCCGTATATAGGGGAATATAAATCCAAAAGCCGCCACCACCGCCACGCGAGTACAATCCTGTCCTTTTTTCTATATACTCAATCACACACAGACGCACGCGCACACACGCGTGCGCACTCGTAGCTTTTACATTCTTCTCCAGCTGAGCTTTTTCTTCGTTCGAGCTCGAAGACTGCACATAAATTTTTTGGGAGGCCAGCCCAGAGAGAGAAGAGAAGAGCTTGATATGTTTGTATATATTCGCAGATGTATATTATAGGTACATGAGAACTTTCAGGCCAGGAGAAAGAGAGGAAGGGAGCAGTACTACATATACTTTCCGTGTATACGTAGAGAAATACGCACGGGTGCAGGGCATCGGAAAATCTGTACAGAGTTGAAAATAAAAGAGGAGACAAGAAGGTCGAAACGCCGAAGATCGATAAATTTTGACCCGAATACTTGATATAGCCCTTCGCGAAACTAAAATGGTCGTTCTAGATCATTTAATGCTTCCTCTTTGCAACGACCTTTTCTCCTCTTTCTCTTTCTCTCTCTATTCCTCTCTTCGTGACCCTCGCGACTTATTATACCCTCTCACGCGCGGGAATACCTTGATGGCTTTTTTACCCGCTCCTGTGTATAATGTGGCACGAAACTCATTTATTTTGGAATATTTCATTTTACGTCTGGCACTGCTACTTCCATCGCCGCCATATATGTACCCATGAATTATGCAACTACAAATGTATCTCGATAAGTGGCTCTCTGTCGCTCGAGGTGGAGACGAGGAAGTACAGCGGCGCATTCGTCTGGGTGATTATCAGCCTCTTAGGCCTTATCGATAATAGAATTCACTTAAAGAATGCCAATAACACGCGGATTACAATCTAGAAGCGACAGCAATATAACTCATTTGATCTCGTTAGGTATGTGGTTGCAGCGAGTGCATTGGAAAGAAAACCTATATCAATGAAAAAACATCGAGTTCAACTGCAAATCTTGCATCGTATAAAAAAAATTATGTTATTAGTCGAACTAAATATTGATCGCATAATGACCCTACGCACGTACGCGCCTTCACCATATCCGAGTTACTACACAGGATCGAGCGAGTAAAGTTTCTAAAGGACGTGTCGCACACGTTCTTTGAAAAAAGGTGCGCAGTAACGTCATGAGGCCAATATAAGTTAATATAGACTAGTCTGCGCTACACTCTTATATACATCGGTGTATATATATGTGTGTGTGTGTGTGTATGTGTGTAAGGGACGAAAGTATAGTGACACGAGGAAGGAAGAGGAGGAAGGAAGGAAGGAAGTATAAGGAAAAGGAGAAGTATTAAGTGTACAATGTGCGAAAACGCCTATTGGAGCCAAGAAAGGTTCTTACAACTGCAGTTGGGAGCAGGTGGCGCGTACAATCGTCTTATTGCCACTGCACACCAGAAGCGCAAAAGGAAGGGGGCCAGGTACTGCTGCAGCACGCGTGTGTGTAGTCATACACTGTATGCGCGCCCGTGTGTGTACGTGTGTGCAAGCTGTGAACTCTTGAACTCGATTGCCACACCAATGCTATATAATCTTGCATCTACACTGTACACACATTAAGACTTATAAAGCCAAAAGGAGAGTGAGAGAGAGAGAGAAATGTCACAGTTGCAGCAACAGCAGCTCATGGTATAAACGCTTGATTGCGTCCGCGCGCGCGCGCGCACTCCTGAGTTTAAGGGAACTTTTACTCTTTGCATTTACCATTAAAATTATGATCAACAGGCCAGATTGCCAATTAAGCGTAGCTCTCTCACTCTCTTTCTCTCTCTCTCTATCTCGCCTCGGTACAGTGAAGGGGAAAAAAAAATAATTCCGCTGTGCTCAGCAAAAAAATTCTTTTCTCTTCTCCAAGTTGAGTTGTCTGCGCATCGTTAAAAACAAGCCGTCCGTCGGCTTATACACGAATTAACGGTTGGACAGGGGAAAAATTTACTATACTCGCGCGTGTGTACGCCTCTCGAAATTTCACATAGCACCCTTTCAATTATATTCGAAAGATCTATAAGTTATGGACATTAAAATGGTTTCGAGCGCGAGAGCGGGGGCGTTTGAGTGCAGCTTGTAAAGATACATACATGTATAAAATATATACACGCACACGAGTCCGTCTCTCGCTCCCTCTATCTCACACATCCGATCACAAATCACACAAGTGATGCCTCAATGTATGTAGGCGAAATACATACAATGATCGACGGCATCCAAGAGAGCGAGAGAGGAGATGGATTTGGAGAAGGATAATGTAGAGATAGTAAGGGAGAATCGAGCTGTGCTAGGCTATATAGCGCTTGAATTATGACGCGTACATCATCGAATTCCGCAGAAATACATATAGCTCCGAATCACTCCCACTGGACACAGAACCTAGCTACATGTATATTATCAGCGAGCTGCGTTACACACACACACGCGCGTACGTACGTATGTGTAACTTACAAACGATAAACGTCAGTTTCGTTTTTGCTTCTACTTTTTTGCTGAAAAAAAAGTAACTGCGAGTGTGACCCGACCTCTTTTTTCACTTAAGAGAAAATAAAACGTATAGCATACATACACACGTGCACACATCTCCGACGCGTTTACTCGCGACGACGCGGCCTCGTATAGAATAATTATAAGCAGCCCTCGAGACACACAGGTAAAAAGCACATACACACATACGCGTACTCACACACGCCGAGCGAGACTTTCTGTTGTGTTGTGTGTGAATATTATATATACGTAAATGTGTGTGTAGCGCACGTACAGGAAGAGAAAGAGAGACTGGAAAAGCCCGCCGGTTCTGGGGCAGATTTTTCAAGCCCCTGGGCGAGCGTCGCCGTAGAGCTCTAGGTTCGCGTGATCAATCTTCATTTTCGTTCGAAGCACACAATCTTTAATTAAATCGCCATTGATCCAGACTGCACACGCGTGTGCACACTTTTCGACCGGTTGCCCGAGCCCGCGTGCGTGTGCCTGTATATAGGTATATAAGTGTGTGTGTGTGTGTGTGTTAGTCGTATTATAAAACCACCACTAGTGTTGCCTCCACGATATATCGACCACTGCAAACTTGAGTCTCGTGGGCTTCTGACCCTTTGCTTTGTAAGCATGGGCAAAAAACGCCGGACGCTCGAAATTAAATCGATTCAGCTTCTTTCCGTCTGCATCATCGTCTCGTCGTCGTCTAATTATCAATTTATCGTGTTTGCTCTGTATTTATTATATTTATTAAACACGCAGCCACTTTTTCTACGTCAGCTGTTATTATATATGACGAAGGGATATAGAGAGAGAAAGAGAGGAAAGAGCCGGCAGACTTTTTTTATGCTCGCTCAAGCGCGTGTGTAGAAATTCGATGAGTTATGAACTACACAATGTGGTCTGTACATAGAAAAAAAGGAAGATAAATTTACTTGAGAATCCATGGCTCGAGTATGTGAAATATTTAAAAATCGAGACGCAACGTATTAGTGCATACGATTTTTGTTTATTTTTTCATTTTTTTTTTTTTTAATTTTATTCTCGATAATAATGTACATACAGAAAAAGCCAAGTAAATATCAAATAATTTCAAGAGCACCCGCCCAACAAAAATATTCTGTTTGCCATTATGACTTTAAACTTGGCTGAGAATATACGTATTGTGTGCTTGCGCGCCCGATAAAAACGTACACGTATTTCAAATTCAGGACGTGTAAAAATTTGTCTCTCCACTCGGCGTGCGGGCGTGAGCGCGCAGCACGACCCGGTAGAGAGATTGCAAAAATATAAGTTGCACTTTTGAATGCGCGATTTTAAATTTGTGCTCCGAAAAATTCCGAAATCTTATACGCTTATTGTGGCAGCGCTGCGGGGACAAAAAATTATGCACAATCTATAAGGCTGCTTGAAAAAAATTTTTTCGCTTTTTTTCTGCGAAGCGCACCGTTGTGTCTTGTGTGCCTCAGCTAGATATGAAAATCAGGCATGCGAAGTCGGCAGTGTGGCAGGAGGAGCATCGCCCGAGAGAACAAATTCAATAAAAGGCTAGAATCAGCACAGACAGCTGCGGTGGTTTGCATTTTTGCGACGCTGGCAAAACAAAGGATACACATAGGCGGGACA